CAAGAAAAGTTCGTCGTTGAGTCTGAACAAGACGAAGCTGAAGGCTGTTACTTCAGGAAGAATATATAATTTTCAACAGTCTTAAGATGACTCCACTTCATTCCATGACATTGTTAATCGTCAAATAATTATGAATTTTCTCATTTTGAATGAATAAATGAATTGTTGATCATGAACTGTTTTGATGAATTTATGAATTGTGTTTCATCAATCAAAATTGGAGATCCGAGGAAATTTTAGATTCTAACCGAGAGCTCTATGATAATAAACACACCAGGGACACTTGATAAGACATCAATATATCTTGCAACAGTTCCACTTAAAACTTGCGTTGCATTTTCACCCTCATCTTCTTGATTTTCTTCTTACGAACGTGCTCATCTGTCAGCTTCGGCAATTGCTTTCTCACAGTGCTAGAATTCTGATCAATCTCATAAGCTTGCTCAATTACACAAAACGAAGCAAATTTTCGTTGTGAGGATCGCGTTTGCTCAATTGGCACACAGATTTCTAACAGTTTATTCAGAATATTGTTCCTTAAGCCTTTGAGGAGGTGGGGTGGATCGAAGAGTACAATGAGTGTAGTCCATGAAATCTTGATAGTGAAGTCTGTAATGATTGAAGGGCCCCATTTGGTGATGGTCTCATTTTTATAATGCGCAATGGATTTCCAAATTATAGGTGAGAGAGTGAGGTAAAAATGTCTTAAGTAAAATGTCAGGCGTCAATCGTCATTTTTTCTATTTACAATGTTTATTCTGAAGGATTCATTTGGAAAGGGAGCAGTGAGGATCAAAAGTCAAACACAGAAATACAACTCGAGATGCTTTATTGATTTTTTAACCCACTCAGAAGATATCTATATGCGATAAGAATCCATTGATGAACATTTCCGTCCATCACAACGTGGGTGAAGGAGTCTCTCACGTTGCAATTATAGATAAAGTTTGATATGAAGAGAAGAACTAACCGATACATGAGCTCACCATAATGTTCACCATTTTTCCATCGCTGGCCATTGCTCTGGCTGACCAACTTATTCACTGCAGCACAATTTGTAGATGCTTGATCACACACAGTAGCAACCAGATGTAGTCCAGTTTTCTCGATGGCTTTCACTATGCGTTTGATGCATAGAACCAAGGCTGGTGTTGAGGTTTGAACATTGCAGAAGCCATAGAAAATTGGTATTTTCCAGGCGCTATGAATGCCACGAAGCATAAAAACAATGACATGATCAGCAAAATTTGGGGTACGGCGATAACGCCAATCCTCAAACCCAGTGATTTGATCCCTGAATTTGTCATACTCCAGGTGGGGGGTCAGTTTCATTTCATCCCAAAGCAAAACACAGTACTTCTCCTTCCCCTCCATAGTAGCTGCTCGCTTTTTCAATTTTCTCATGACCATTTGATTTATTCCTGTGTGACATGGTATCAGTTTTAACGTGTTATGATTGGTAGATGCAGAGGGGAGAATGAGAAACGACTTCAATCGCCGATAGTAGCTTTTTCCCCATGCAGTCATTATCATCCCCATGATGATCTGAGGACGTTTATATCGGATACCCTGTAAAAATTGGATGAGTATATAATTGAAAGTAATCACAACAGGAGCATCTGCTATGTCAGCTTTTCTACGCAAACAGTCAGGAATCAATCAAAACATGCAAGAATGCTAATAAATTACATTTGATACAAAAAGCACTGAAACGAACAACAACAACTACCGAGTAACATCTACAGCAATTTCATTATTAATCTATCAATGCCAAATCTACATTGAGCTCACCAAACGTACACTGACTTGATGTGTAAACAATTGCCCTGAATTACTTGAAAAGATATAATTATTTCACGATAATTAAATTTATAATTTACTCAGATGAATTATCATAAAACTACTCACTCATTCTTCTTCTGTACTATACCTTGGGTTTTTTATCTACATTGATCAGCTGTATTCCGAACAATGTCTTAGTAAATATGCTCAATTTGTGCCAATTATCCTAAATCGACGGTTTCATCCGATTTTTGAGAGTCTGTAACCGCTGTTGACATCTCCTCAATTTCTGTCTCAACATGGGCTGCTCTTTCTGTAGTTTTAGCAACCCCGCCAATTGACGTTGAGTAAGTTGAGCAATTTTCAGACGTGCTCGTTTTTTCTGGGAAATATTCTCCTGCAATTGTCTGATTTTTTGCCTCGACTTCTGGATCACTGCAGCATTACCGGAATTTGGAGTAAACGCGCTTCGATATCCTGAAGATGTGCTTGCTACTGGCTGCTCCTCAATGTGTGTAATAATCTGTTGATGGAGTTATTTGAAAATCAATTCTATTTCCATGACAAGAGTACTTCGTGACATGCAGATTGACCTCCTGGTGTATAGAGAGTACTTGGGGGACAGGTTGTGATTTCCTCTCGAACAATGATTTCCGAACCACTGGAACGTCCTGAAGACTCTCACATGTTATCGTATCTCCATACACTGATGTCCTTGGCTCTGAGGGCTCCTCGAAGTTACTAATCTGTTAGGAAAATTTCTTTTAATGAATTTTGTTCTTATGATAATTGTACTAGATTGCATACCTTTTGTTGTACCGTGGATATTTCAATCGTTCCGGGTGAGTTTATACGTTCTCGGTTCTTCAAATAAATGTTCTGGTGCAATAAATTGGTTTTTCTCACTGTCTCTTGGTCCACCCTATCAGACTCATTATTCCCATCCACTGTCACTCTATACTCTGATGATTCATTTGGAATGGGTAGCTCTTCGGAGTTGGTAATGCACTATCAATTATATTTTCTTATCAGTTTCATTTTTATAGCAGTACCTACACCTGAACTTACATTCTGTTGTAAGACGGGTGGTCCAGACGTTTGATCTCGAGGAAATCCATTTGAGAGCAGATTTGTCTCAGTAATATCCATTGATTCACTGGCTTCCATACAAACTTCCATATTAACACTGGGTATAGCGTTAACATTTCGCCTTACACGTTGTTCAGTTTTAGAGAAGTCGTTTTCGGTAAAATGTCGACGACAAACTGAATATTTGGGAAGTTCTGCGAGGGGCAAATTGTTCAAAAATGGAGAATTTCTTGCTTCTCTCCATTTTTCGGTGAAACAGGCACGCTTTGGGATAGAATGGCTTGGTCTACCACGTGGTGAAGGACAGTTTGGTACCACACACTTATTCCGTAGAGACATTTCTCGATTTTTGAACTGATTCTCCATTCTGTCAGGCTATTTTTGAATTTAAAGAAACGGTTATGTACGCATTCGCAGAAGGGCGACACGAGCGCCTCGCGGTAGCTGGATATTTCTTCGAAGCTTCGACTGCCATCATTTATTACAATCGAGTTGGACCCCCCTGGTCCCATAACCTCTCACTATTTGGCGCTTGCCCCTATCGGAGTTGGAGATAAAGCCATTTGGAATAGGAGAAGAATCTCTCACTCTACACTGAGAGAAAAACAAACACGTTGTCAAACAAGTCTTGTTTGGGCCAAAAAAATCGCCAATTGAAAATTGCCAAAAAAGAATTTGTTTGGTTCGAATTTGAAAGTCTCAAACATGAATAATTGTTCTGCTTTCGACAGCAACGAAATATTTGGCTCAAGAGGCGGATAATTCACACCAGACGGTGCCTTTTTAGCATGAAAATATCTCATATAAAGGAAAATTTACCAACAAATATTTTATCCCTAACTTACAAGATTGCTATCATATCATTATTATTGTTTCATTCAAGGGTTCATTTATTGTCTGTGATTATTAGACAGCCGAAACGGAAAAATACTATTCCTTGTTTCGCATAAAACAAAGATTTTTCAGGAGCAAAATACGTATGGGAGTATCGAATAACGAAGGAGTAGTGCTAGAAATGACATTTCTTGCGTGTACAAAGAATGCATTCTTTTTTTGAACGACTCAATCTATTTTTGCGACAAAAATTTTTCATTCCGGTGCGCTCTTTGCATGTGTAGCACAAAAAAATACTCTTTTGATCATTTTCAAAAAACTATTTTCTTGGCACAAGTAAGACTTGTTTGAGAACTTTGTCGTTTTTCTCTCAGTGTACTTGGGCGACCCCCCTTTAGCGACAGAGTGTGGATGTCCGCAACCGCTTATTTCGTGGAGTTCGTAGCCCCGAGGTGGTAAAGTTAGGGAGACTCTACTGTATGTGCAATGCCTCCTACAATTGCGATGGGATTACCTATTTCTTTGGAAATTTCAGTGCAATTTTTAACATGTTTGTTTTTGACTCCTTTTTAGAGCCTAATGAAACTAAAATATATTTAGCAAAACGTCGCATCCTTGACAATTACATCCTAGTGTTTTATTTCTCCAAAATCCCTGATTCTTGGATTAATTTACTTATTTTCAGACTTTTGAAGAATAAAACAATGGGGTATCAAAATAACCAAATATGCCAAAGAACATTTATTTTGTGTGAACAAAAATGCAGACAAAAATAGACCTTAACTCCAACTAAAGCCTTTATTAAGAGGTATTACAATAAACTCATTTACTTGATCTAAATGAAGTTTATGCAACGTAAATAAATTATTTATCTGGATCTAACGTACTAGTTTGCGTAATATTTAAACCAAAACAGAATGAAATCAGTCCTGCAGTTGTAAAACGCCATAAGGGAATAACGTCCCGATTTTTTTGTTTTTCCTGAATATTTATTTTTTTTAAATCTTGAAAATAATTCTCGAAATTGAGTTGACACATTTCCTTCCACCACATTGCTTTTAAAATTCAGGAAATGAGTGGAGACGACTGTACAACTCATGTAGACAAATCGCTTTACAATAAACTGAAGTAGGGGAGAGTGGGGTAAAATGGACACTTTATACTTTTGTTTTAATTACTCACAACTGAGAAACAAATTTATCAATTGAGCTCAGTCTAGGCTCATCACAAAGGGGAAGAATTGTTCTTTGCAATGAGAAAAAAATTCTTAAATTTTATTAACATTTCAACCCGTCATTAACATTTGAGAAAAAGTCAAGTGTCCATTTTACCCCAACCTCCCCTGCTCTCCCAAAATAAAAAATGGGTGAACCTTTTCAACTCAACGATTCAATTTCTCAGGTTTCACCGGTTACGAGGCTCAATCTATTCCCGATAAGATACCGAATAAATTGATGATACCAACTACTTCACTCTCGCCAATCCATACAGTAATCACGCGGTAGCAAACTTAATTACATATCACTGATAGTGAAACGTAAATCGTCATGTCAAGTCATTAATAATTTAGCCTCGTGGTATTAAAACGCAAGTTGAGACTGGAGTGAAGGCTCTGCTGGGACTTCCTACGATTTCTTCACGTGATCATAGTAGACAAGGCGTATCGAGGCACACGTAAGCCAGTCTAATGCCTCGGTCATACTGGCGTCGTTGTTAGGCTGCTGGCAGCCGCACCCTCTCGACAGGGGCATCGTGTGTCCACCTACGTGTCCACTCGTGAATTCTTTTAAAAAATGCGGCAACAAAAAATACGTCTTCACACACCCTGCACTTGAGTCCTCATCCTTACTCGCATTGTAAAACTTACCATTCGTTATTTTAATATTCAGATCTCATGTTTCCGAGTATCAGTGGTGGTTTTTGCGGCTCGATGCGGTGTCGCAACCGCGGGGATATGTATTCCTGTGACTAGATCTCATTTACCAGACGTCATCTGAAAAATGAGGACGAAAACATGATTTAATGTAGAATGGATGAACTCCAGTTGAGTAGTTTGAGTGGAGTGAGGAAGAATCAATTTGAAATTCCCAAACATGATGATTTACAGAGAACAAAATGTTTTGATTTACAGGGACGGGTCCCTCATTTTTGGAGACCGATTGCCAATTATTGGTGATACACTGTTAGAAAACAAGTGGCAAATTGCTTTCGTCACAGCATCGTCAATATGCTTTTGGTTATAAATTGGAAATTTCCTACCGAATGGAATTTCTATGACGAAATTTCATGCCCAGTCGACTTGTAATTTTTACGAAAGTGATACCTTGGCTGTTTTTTCTTCAGTGAAATGCTTTTCTACTTTTGCAGTTGAATATCGAAGCTATCATTTGAGCTCCATTTGACCCTAAGTTTCCGGAAATTTTACGATAATTTTCTTATTTAAACCTTTATAAACAAACGGTTATATTGAACTGTGAGAAAACATTTTAAAAATCGCAAAAAATGAGAAACTTTACTTTTGGAGGAAGACTGATGAAATAATTAAAAAATTGCAATTTTTTAAATTTACGAGCATTTTTATAAATATTCCATAAACAATCAATTTTCCACCATTGAATCATTTGTGGGGAATCGTAACAAATTTATTTATATTCAGAATTTTACCAGAACTCGATTTCGTGTTAAAAAATAAGGTTTCCGAAAGTTTAAAGAATTTCGGTCATTTATTTATAAACAACGAATGACTAAAAAAATAATAATTTTGTGCAAAATGTAATTTGGATGTCGTTGAATATTCATGATTTTTTCCAATTTTTTTCACGCAATTTAATTGACAAATTTGATGTTTGAAAATGATTGAATCTATAATGTACCAAACTATGAAAGTTACCTGGTTATCCTTAAGAGGAAACAAGCAGGGAACCGAGCCTTTCTGTCAGAAGGCATGTAACCGTTACTTGATGCGTTATTTGTCTTTTTCATTTTTTATTTCTACCAATTCCATTGGTAGTAAGCTTCCGAATGAATCCGCAGAAATTTCATTTTTTAATTGAAAAGTGGCAATTTTTGTTGAATACGTTTCCTCGAAACGTTTGACCTTTTAAAATTGAGAATTAAATTTCGGTTTTATCCAGTGGGATAAGCATATCTACACGACCCTATTTTTAAGAAATGTTTCCATGTGAAAATCAATGATAGAACAACGATATGTTATTTTATGTGAACAACGTTTTTTACATCAACTGCTCTATTTCAAAAAGTATTGAATCGATCAATCTGGAATTTTACACAGAAGTGCAACGCGATGATACTAACTAGTCCTCAACATCTTGGAACTTTACCACATCCTTCACTCATGTAATAGAACGTTAAAGCAACTTTCAGGCAAAAGAAATGGAAAAACGCCAATATCTCGTAAACTTTGCAGGAATGGGTATGAATATTTTGAAAGAACTAGATAGGAGACATCAAGACGAATATTTTGAAAAAAAACTTTATACCGGATGAATAATTTTTCAGGTATTGAACAATATAGTTTTATACAAAAAATTGAATATCTTTAAAACTACTTATTCGATTTCGCCCATCTGAAATCCCAGCCGGTAGTATAGGAAGAGCTAGAATCCTATCAAATTTCAACTTCCTATCTCAATTTTTTCAAGCGTTGTCGTGTTCACATCAATTTTATCACAAACATGAAAAATGTCAATTACTGGGCGACTCGCAATAGTTGGCTAGGCACATTATGGTCCGATTAGATAGATATTATCATACGGAATATTTTGACACCAAAAAACTTCATTTGATGCAGTAGTTTTTGAGATATTGAGAAAACAAATAGTTTTCGGAATCGCTATCTTAAGGATTTTCTACATGCACCGTAGCGGGGGGGTGTGCGGGTGTGGATGGGTATGACTTTCGTAAGTGTGACAATCCCTGAACATGAAAAAATCGAGTTTTCAATTACCTCGTTGAGGTGCTATTTGGCGACTTTACTGGGATTAAAATTTTTTTAATATCATATATTCATCATGGCAATACGTCAATTACATTAGAAATTTTTTATAATTGTATTTAATAATTGTTAAAATAATAAAAATTCAGTCCGCAACAGAGGCAACGTCACCCACTAGAAAATTTGGGTGAGGCGAGTTGGTAACATTGGCTCCCCAGCCACTGTAGACTGTTTACCTCCGCATTCTAACCGACAACTAAAACAATTATAACTTCAACAATTATAATTATAAATTATAAAAATTATATTATAAAAACAATTATAAAAAATTTTGTGTGAAATTTTGTGGAATATTTTAGTTCAGTGTATGTGTAATTTCTCTTCAGTTCTCTCTCAAAATGCGCTCCAGTCACATAACCTCATCACTCATCACTGGCCACGATGTCATCTATCTTACGTTTCAACGGGAAAACTGTTTAACCGTTTCACAAGATAAAAAAAACGTTAATCGTACTTTCTTATATTTTTCACGAAGCATAATTTCTTTCATTTATAACTTCGTTCACAGATTTTATCCATTCACCTATCCACGGAGCAACAGTAATACTATGCCCTTTGGTATTTGGCGCGTTCCCATTTATCCCTAGAACTGTTGCGACGTTGTCGCATGTTGTAGCTGCGCGTGCAGGAATTTCAGTCGACCAAAAATTTTTAATGTTTTTCCAACTTTTCGTTCCAAATTATTGATCTGATCGATTAAAAAAAATATAGCGATTGTGCGTTTGATCATTTTTTAACTGTGTGCAAAGTTTCATCACGATAGAAGCATTTTTCCGACTTTTTTCTAAGATTTTGTGAATTTCTCATAAGAACACGGGTTAAATTGCTTTTTTAAAAAAAATCATAACTTTGTTCTGGGGTATCAAAAAAATCTAGAATTTTTCATACGTTTCTGTAATAGATTGGAGAAGCTTTAAAAAAAATTCCATCAATTTCTTATATTTTTGCGAATGCATGTAGAAAATCCTTAAAATCTCTGGACCGATTGACCTGAAATTTAGCGCTCCCAAACAATACCAATTATGAGTCTCCTCTTTTTGTGAAAATTTATTTAAAAAATTCCCAGAATTTTGCAGGGATATATGGACGTACACATGGACAGGCTCTAAAAACATATCTCGACGTTTAATGACATTCTAAGTCATTTCCAAGCAAAATTAGAGAATCGAAAAATCGACCGATTACAAAGCCATTCGGAAGCAAAAATTAGAAATTGCCAGACTTCACTGAAAATTCAATGAAACTGAGGTGACAATTCCTCAACCCATTTGAATTGTGAATGAAATCATGAATATTCAGGGTAAAATTACGATGAATTTTCAAGAATGTATTTACCGGAATTTTCCCGATTTCAACACCTTTGAACAATGACCAAAATTCATTCGCTTGAGACGACAGCGATCCTCACTTGAGTGTAAAAATCTGAAGTTATCTTGTACGTTGACCCCTGAAATGCTATCATTGAATATATATCGAGCCATAACCGATATATTATAACACCAGTAGTGAGAATTCGAAGCTCCAAACGATGTTACTGTGCCACGTGTAAAACCCCATCCAAATGTTTTTCCATCCTTCTCTCACCAATCGTTTGAGATCTCAAGAATCCCGGCTTACGTATTATATAACCCGATAACGACAGTGCCTTTGACTTACTATGTGCCATTGCCTCGTACATACAATAGCAGTGGCTGGATAATTTTAGACATGGTATGGCTCTCCCTTCGACGGGGCTGCCTCAAATTTCCGTCCGATGGTAGTATCCTCGTGCAGACGAGGAGTTGGATGTAATGGATACCGTGAATTTACAAAAAGATTGAGGAAAAGGAGGATGAATGACGCCCATGTACTTCGGGGGATCGATGTTACGACAATGTACGGTATTCTTGACAACGCCAACTAATCAAATACAAGTGTTTGCCAGGTGGTTTTTCGAGAGTCACGAAGCTTAATAAGGAGTCGTTCTTTCCATTCGGTTAAGTAATCTGGATAAGGAACGAATTTAATTCCAGAGAGATAATGTATTTTCTTTCCCCTAATTTTTTTTTTACATCAGGTGCAAAGTAGTTGGAGCATGAAATATGTAATGGGATCAATAGATCAATAAAAAAAATTCGTATTGAATCGTTGAATTTTTGCATGGGTGAGGATTGGATCGAAAAGGTTTAGTGGAAATTTCTATCGGATTGAAAAGAATAGACCCCTGGGCCTCAACTTCAGAGGTTGTGCTTGCAATGAACAATAACCCAACACATTCAACTTCATGTTTCTCATGGTTATTTGGTATATCTAGAATATATTTCTAAGGAAAAAAATGATATTAATATTTAGGAATGTTGCAATCCGAAAAATCCTGCAGCGCCAGGGGTCTATACTTTTTAACTCGATAGTAGTGCACTTCTTGGAGTTCTTTTTATCGAGTAACGGTTCCACTGAAATTTCAAGGAATTGTGCTATTAAACATTAAGAATAGATTCATGAAAATTATTTTTTTTATCTTGCTCCTGCCTCGAGCCATCTCCAACAACAAAAGTTGAAGCAATGCACCTTTAATCGAACCCCACGGTCTACCAGTTCATTCTGAAAGAAATCAAACAAGTTCCTTGAGGTATATCCTTAGAAAACAGGTTTATCTTACGATTGTTCGTATATTTTTCACAGGTAATGTTTATAATATTCCCTAGCTATTGAAAAAAATTTAACTAGGTGTACTTCACAGTTTAGGAGATGATAAATAATGAAATGTGGGCTTCTAGAACGTGAGGCATAGGCCGGGGATTATGGTTTTCCCCCGAACCTGATTTTTCGATCTTATGAAAAAAGCATTCTTACGATGTTCTTAAAAACCGAATCCGTAGGAGATCGATAAATTCCGAATACCGTGAATTTTTGTAAACTTTATAGTACATAGTTTTTACGATATTCAACTCTAAACAAGTGGAAAAATGCTCTTGTATTGCATACAGTATAGTTTTTTT